TGCCTCCCATTTTCAAATGCTCAACCAGTTCCTCCCTATTTGTCAAAATCAAATCTAGAACAGCCTCTCCCCTGGTAGCTATCTCCACCTTCTGAAATAAAAAATTGTCTCCAATACATTCCAAGAACTTATTGGATAATCTGTGCCCTGCTGTGTTATTTTCCCAACAGATGTCTGGGTAGTTGAAGTTCCCCATCACCACCAAGTCCTGTGCTTTGGATGATTTTGTTAGCTGTTTTAAAAAAAATCCTCATCCACCTCTTTTTCCTGGTTAGGTGGTCTGCAGTAGACCCCTACCATGACATCACCCTTGTTTTTTACCCCTTTTATCCTTACCCAGAGACTTTCAACAAGTCTGTCTCATATTTCCATTTCAATCTCAGTCCAAGTGTATACATTTTTAATATATTAGGCAACACCTCCTCCCTCTTTTCCCTGCCGGTCCTTCCTGAGCAAGCTGTACCCTTCTATACCAATATTCCAGTCATGTGTATTATCTCACCAGGTCTCTGTGATACCAACCATGTCATAGTTGTGTTTATTTACTAGCATTTCGAGTTCTTCCATCTTATTCTCATACTTCTTGCATTCATATACAGACATCTAAGATACTGATTTGATTTGATATACAAGAGCGAGGAAGAAAATTATCACAAACATTTTTAAAAAAATCTCTATCTATAAAAATGTCACCATTCTAAAATCTAATATCTGAGGACTTTACAGAGCAAGTTCAATAATCTATGGAAAGCTGGGTATTCTCTCGTTACCAGTACAAAGAAGTCTTGTTTATAACCCTGCAAAATCAGAAGACACTGGACATTAAAATGATGCCGCACTGAATACTGTCTGTCCTGCACATCAGACCAGTGTAATTTTGAGGGAAATATTTTTGTCTCAAGTTGATTTAAAAAAAAAATTGTTATAAGCTGCAGAGAGGTCTGAAAGACTAGAAGGAGTGCTAAAGAAGATAGATAAGTGGCAGAATGAAAGTCAGGAACATGACAAATACAATTTATCACATGTCTTTCAGTGCCACATTTATCATGTGTGTACATATAAAAACACATATCTACAATATATATTTATATACATATAATGTGGATTTGTGTTTGTGTGTATATATATATATATATACACATATATATATATATCTCTATACACATACAGACATATTAGTGAAATAACGTATTTCAGTATGAGTAAAACGACCACACATTTTTCCTGTATTGATTAAATAGAACATCTGCGGAACCTTTGTTTAAATAACCTTTACCAGGCGAATTTATTAGTTCCATCTGTGATGCTCATACCCCAGTAGTCCTGGCTGAGCAAGAGTCTAACCAACTTCATCCATCTTCATGGTATGAATGAACATGGAGCTAAATAGAAGTCAAAATATTCGGGCTTTTCTGACCACAGATTATGGGAGCACACTGTTTGTTTTATAGCCATCAACCTGCTCAATTGAATCCTGCCTGCCTGAGCTTAGCAGCTTAAAATTCATTCCACACAGCCTGCAGTGCTGACATGGATATGATAAGACAGAAGAACAGAAACACCACTCTGAAGTAACCTAGCTGAACTGCACATGTTCTGACCCTTTTTGTCCTCCCTGGAGCTTTTGTTACCTGGCAAATGCAGCTCTAAAACTGTTTGTGTATCTCCAGATCTTTGCTCTTAGCCATGCAGAAGCCTATTTCTCTCAGGGACTGGCAGCCAAAGAGGTGTTCTCTGAAGAAGGCTTCTAAATGAGTGTGCAAGCTGAACTCTTACTGAACTGAATTAATTATTAAAGATGCAGATGGAACTGTCCAAATGATGAGAACAGCTCCTGATGTGTCATGATCCAAGCTTTCATTAAACCATTTCAGGCATACTAATGGTTTCCCATCGCTCATTACTTACATGCTCTTTTCTCATAGATATAATGACCCTGGTGCCCATAGGCATGACAGTCTATGGAAATACTGAAGTTGAAAGTTTTATGTCTTCCTCAGAAGGCAGTTTTCCCTCACAGACCCCCACGTTGTCGTGTATAGATTTTAATGCAATTGGAAGGATGGATTTAACCACAGAGAAAACCTTGTAAATTAAAGCAGCAAACAATATTGTCTCAGAATATGCATATTATTTCATTAATAAATATCATAAGAGAGAATTTAAACCAGTAACAGATGTTGAAAAGATTACAAATATTAAGCTCTTTCATACCATTGATAATGAATACCCTACTCTACAAACATGGCTCTTCTCTGGTTACGTTACACATGAGATTATTTTTCAGCCATTACTCATCTGCCTCTCTTTTTCTCTCTCTCTCTCAGTTGGACGATTAGAGGGCAAAGCAATTGCAGGAGAAGAATTACTCCCAGGAACTATGTTGTGATTGCTACCTGCTGTTTCATATTTGTGAAGTTGGGAATACTGCTCCCAAAGGCCTTTAGCCACTCAGTCTAAATGATTTGCTGGAGGATAATAATATCATGGCCGATAAATAACAGTGGACTCTGACTGTACATGGTCAATATAATTTAAATGTCCTTCACCTCTGTTCTCACTCTGACCTGATTATGAGGAAATATAAATGCCCTCAGCAAAGTCCCCTTCTAGTCCCCTCAAGTGAAATATTATATAAAACAGAGAGAAGTGATCTAGATAGTGCTTACAGTAATAAGTTAAACAAAAACAAACAAAAAACACTGGTTATAACCAGACCCTAAAGCACTGAATAGCTGAACTGTATGACATCAGACTTAGAACAGTTTTCTTTAAATGATCACAGCAATCATGTATACAACTTCTCCTATTGGAAGAGTATGACCTACTGTACTAAAAATTCCGTTTAAATATAGTTGAAGACTTAGTACTGAATCAAATTCCAAAGTGGGAGGGATTTCCTTTTCTTTAAACTTGCTTAAATAGACTAAACTTTGTACTACATTCCTAGTTGCTTGACCACATTCCTCATACCTCCAGGAGACTATTATCTTTCTGTCTCTCTCTCTCTCTCTCTCTCTCCATACATACACTTTGCCATTTGAAAAAATAAAAGGAAATTTTACATAACAGATCCTTACAGCATTGTGACTGTATCTTTAAAATGAAGCATCTATTTGCACATTGTGCACCTGTCCTTTCTTAAGTGTCCACGCTTCATGGGTTGAAAAAACTCCATTGTTTAACCGAGGTGGCCTTCTAATAAACAAAGAGTACATCTGGAGATACATACATCTGGAAATACTTCAGCATGATATCTTAAGACAGGATAAATCACCTATCAATAGGCTTGGCAGAATTAAATTTTTTAAAAATATAATTTTGACACCAATATCGATGTTTATTTTAAGCAGTTTTTTCTATTTTTACCTATTTAAATGTTTACAGGTATGGTAAGTTACGGAGTGGGTCAGACAATAATTATTTAATGACAGTAGGCATTGAAATTCAAGAAGTTAAGGCTTAATAAATGTTAAAACGCAGATTGTCAACATTATGTGTCAAAATATACAAAGTGAATATCCATAAATCAAACTCAGTTCTCAAGGAGATTTTTATTACTTTGACTAGCTACAAATTTTGATGATCATCAATGGAAATATTTTTGGGGTTGGTCTGTGTGTACAGTGAAATTGACTTTTACCAACATTTGATAAAAATCAAATCCTTCCAAGCCTACCTATCTTGGATGGTCTTGCACATCTTTTCACTGTAATTCGTAGATTCAAAATGCACCAATTGTCTTTCACATTCTGGGGCAGTGTAAATCATAAGATAAAAAAAATGTGCTTAAATAATTCACTGTATAAATCAATAAAAGGCAGGAATTTAAAAATTAAGGCTGACAAACTATCCTTGAGGCTGAAAAAAATATGACAAGACTACAAAGCTCGAATTAGTGAAGGGAGTGTCAGAAATTTTAATTTCTTGGCTTTTGTCAGTTTTTGTCACAACCATGGCATTATATAAATGCACAGGATATGGTATTTTACTGCCGTAGGTTTCTAAAAACACTAATAAAACCCACTTCACTGTTCCAAAATTTCAAAGTTATGAACTCTCTCTTATGTACCTACAGAATATCAGTGCACACTCAAGCACAGCTGGACCTTTCAGAGCTCTGACACGACAACCATAAAGTTGAGTTGTAAATTCATTTTGAACATCCTTTTCTTCCAAATTCTTACACCTGTATTTCCACCAGTTTGCATTAACTGCAGCAGATCTTCCCCTGGCTGAATATATAACCATGTTCTATTTATTGTAAAGACTGGAATGGTTCTAGGAATGGATAATGAATGAGTTAACCACTACATTTTTTATATAAAAAAAATTATATATACAATTAAAATATTTCCACCCACTGGAATGACTCGCATGGATTTTCTATTGGGTTCACAATACACTGATTATTATTTATATAAAAAACATGTGAGTGTTTTATACATAGTACAGATAACATAGATATGCATATGGGGAAAAACACTTACAAATATATACACACATATAGCATATGTATGCAGAATTATTAGATTGAATTATTTACCCAGAGGATTGGAACTTCTGTTTGAGTCATTCCAGTCTGTTGGATAAATACTTAGTTACAATTTTTGAACGTGTACAAAACCAACTCAATAGATGGTAGTAGTAATAATGGCCCTTTTGTAATCTGTATTTAGTACTATATTGATCTGTCATATGACTGCCATATCAATATGACCTTCAGTATTAAAATAATAAGGACAAAAAGAAGAAGCGAAGAAGCACCAAATGAGTTCTGAACATTAATAATTTGGTCAGAACTATATTTTAAACATTCTTTACAGTCCCTTGTTCCCATTATAAATTTGCCTTAATTATTTTCATACAAAACTCTGAGAGTAGGATTTGTAATGACTGATGTTACTCAACCTTCACGACGCTGTTGCTCTTGTAAAATGAGCAAAAAGGGGAAGGAAAGGGGAGGTGGGGGGTCGGAGGGAGAAGGAAAGCACTCTTACCAGAATAATGAAGGTAACAGGCCCAATGAAACTCCAGATAAAATAGTTATCTACGTGGAGCCAGCAACTGTGATGAAAAAGGCAATGAAAGTTAAATGATTACACTGGTTCCTGAATTGTAAAAATGGAAAGTGCAAAACCCATCTTAAATAATCCTTGAACAGGTGTTTCAATGTGAATACACAATGAGCCAACAACAGTGAATAGTACCATCTCAATCATGGCCATTCCCCCCTTAGCTAGGGCTGTTTTCCTGGGTTCTCTTGAACAAGATTGTTGATCATCTGCTCTGGTTTTCTCCTTACATACCAAAACTAATTTAAAAACAAAAAAACAAACAAAAAAAACGACCTCTCTCTTGCTCTCTTTTTAGGTTCAGTCAAAGTTTTTGCTATGGACTGATGAAACCTGACATCAGTAAATGCTTTAGTTTCATAGGTTTTCTATGTAATCTTCAAACTTTGCCTTTAACTTTATATCATAAGCAAAGTGCTGATCCCTGAAGAATGCAAGATAAAAAACGTTCAGATGTCATGTTTTGCTACAAAACAGTATGATATAAATAAAATACCCCATCTGGGAGTTGAATAGTAAGAAAAAACACATATGATATTAAAGTAAATGATGCATAAACTTATCGGGTGACTTCACTTAGTGGTTCATTTTTCATATAGCCCAGCACCCTGCTGAATCTCTTTTATTTGTCTTTCATCAGTAGCAAAATCAAGCAGCTTTCTAGAAGTCAACAATATCTTCTCATACTGTAACTAATTTCATCAAAGGACAAAGTAAAACACCATTGGGAGGCAAATTCATGCCTCCAGCAACTCAAATCCTCAGAAACATTCTATGTCTACCTTCTGTCACTTTCTATAAATATCTGTATTTTTATAAATAAAAGGCAATGGGTAATTTTAATCCTGCTTTACCCTTCTGATAAAATATTATCAAAGTGAAATATATAGGCTGGAATATTGTACTGTCATAATTCAAAATGAGAGTTAGCCAGAGGGCCAACCGAACAAAGAGATCTAATGAAGCATTAGCTTAAAACTGGGTGGTTAAGCCTGTCAGACACATTAAGTTCGGAAGAATTTTTACTTAATATCCATTTGAGGCCAAAAAGTTATTTACTTTTTCAATTTGTTTTAGGTCAATCTTTTGTGTTAAAAGAAAGACTATAATTTAGAATCTGCCTCTCCAGAGTACAAATCCTTTGAACCTAGACAATTACAAAAGACTTGATTGTAATTTGTGCATGGCATTGCCATTCTCTTACCAATAAAGCTTTCAAATGCTATTTTAGTCTGTCAGGGACCCTCTGACAGCTAACAGGCTTTAAAAAAATTATTCACTTGAAAAACACTCAGGTCACTTGCAATTACTTACGCTTTCTCTGTTCCATAGCTCTTATAGTCAATAGCTGCTGCGACACCAACTACTGTGGCAGGGAAGAGGTAGCCAGCAACATAGTAGTACTTCTTCCTAGAATATTCACTTTCAAATACTTCTACTAACATGAGATAGAGCTGCACTCCTTCTAGGCACATCCAGGCAAATGCTGCCAGGAAGAAAAAGTGTAAGAGGCCTGCAAATATCGGACATGCAATCTGCAAAGAAAGAGAAACATGAAAATACAAACTGCCAAAACCTTCCTAGCTAATTCGATACACTTTAAATGAAACAGCATACAATTTTGTTATGAAGGTAGTAACTGAATATTTCTACCAAAGACACTTCACAAGTCCAGAGTAGTTTTCACTAGCCAAAAACCTACGCTAGATATTCAGAAATGTTAGTAATGTATCATGTCCACAGTAGCTGCAGAAAGTATACTCAATTGCACTATGTACGTTAAGTATGGAAATAACTTATTAATATTCCTTACTGTAGTGGAAGCATTAAAAACAATTCCTTAATTTTAGGACTGGGATGTTAACACTACTGCAAGACTTACATTGTAGATGATTTGGTACATGAAGATAAATAAAGAACAGTTGGTTCTACATGTATTATTTATATCTTCTGTTTAAAATTCTTATGCAGCCATCCGAATTTTCTATCTGCTTTAATATAAAATAACTTTGCTTTTACTATTTTAGGAAGTTCTGCAGTTGTATCAGTAGCCAATTTAGATTCACTCCTGTCTAGCTGAATGCTGGATGAAATTCTACCAAATTATTAAATTCTAATCCAGTCTCTCAGCTCTGAATGATGGGATGAATTTTACCAAAGCTTCAAAAAGTTGCATCAGACACTCAGAGGTCTTCAGTGTAAAAAGTTCACGTTTCTGGTACATCAACATTTAATTTCAGCACCACTTTGACAAGTACCCTTTAAATCACCTATCTTTATTAACATATGCTTCTTAATGGAAAAACACTATTTCCCTTTAAGAGGGAAATAGAAGCTATAATGGTATTTTTGATGCCTGCAAATATTATTTGTGAACATGTCCATCTTAATCTTTTGTAACGCCTTTTATCCCAGCCTTGCTGTGTCAGTTACATACAGAAACTTGAAAGCTTGGCAATGGTGTCATATTTAAATTCACATCCATTTCAAACAGTAATTTTCAGAGAACAAGATCAATATGCACACAGACTTACTTTGTATTCTGTTTTATCGATGCCTATTAGGAAAATGAACTCTGCAATGAATAGGTTGATACAAAGATTCTTGTGAATAGTATTACGATCACTTTGTAGGCCACGGAAGAAACAGAATGTGAAGATGCAGATGGCCAGGCATACAAGGGAGATGACAATTCCCACCCAGGTGATGACAGTAAGGAGTAGCTCATGCACTCCATCTTTGTACTGAAAATAATCAAGAATGGAGAAAATTAATATGGCCACTTATCAGTACAAACAGAAGATCATTTAAACAGGTAGCAGCTAGAAAATTCCTGATGAATTTTATAGATGACAGAAGAAATGTGCCGAGTATTTTATCAATCTGATGTCAGGTTTATCTGCTGTTCAAGATTAGTGTGGGTGCAAGAAAGGCAGCTCTGAGTACACAGAGATAGAAATTTGAAATAGACAAGATAATATTTTTACTTTTTTCATGGTGATCTGTAAGCTTGAAGAAAATTCTGTGGAAGAGACTTGTACCATGAATGTATTGCTGTACACATGTGCAGATACAAAAGAAAATTCTTATAATAGTCTATAAGAGAAAATCTTGGTTCTTTCCTACAAACCTACAACTCTATGTCCAAAAAATCTGAGTGGAAGAAATATGTGAACATTCATCATGAAGAAATCAATTAGAACAAAAAAAAAGCAGAGGAACTCATCTGACCCTTCAGCTTACAACACAAACTCAAACCTCATGTTCAGGTAAAGACTGGTTCAGAAGATTGTCCTCACTTTCATTGGCCACAGGGTCAAACCTGTCATTCTCCTTCGTTTTGTTTCTTATATTGGTTGTATGGCTCAGCAACTCTCTGGCAGCTTCTTTGCTGGGCTATGCTGCTGCTACGTTTATATTTGCAGGCACTCTTGGGCTTCCCTATTTAGCCGCTCTCCAAAGTGCACAATGTCCAGGCAAAGTCCCAGAACCATTCAAATGTCACATGCTCTGGGACTTTAGAGATCTCATAGGCAGCGTGGTATGCAGCTAGATGGCAAAGCTCTGTAGTGCAGGGAAGTTTGAAGAACCCAGTAAAGAGGCTGCTGGATCTCATCATTAGTATAGCAGCTTGTGTTTAAGGGAGGGCATAGAATACACAAACTTCCCCACAATTCATATCCAGCTGTATCTGGGAGTTTGTTAAAGGCATGGGGCTAGAAGTTGAATGGAGGGACCTGAAACCTGTCCAGTTATGGGAAAACACATCTGGTCAGAAAATTTCAACAAAAACAAGATTGTGACAAAAATCAGAAACAATTAAAAAAAATATAATGTTCCCCTCACCTTGTGATCAGTTCTATGGAAGAGGGAGAAAGGTCATATGGAGAGGAAGCTGCTCTTGGAAGTGATGCATGAAAGTTGGAAATGCTCAGAGATATGTTTAAGATTTGGATAAGCATCTGAACTTCTGCTTTCTTCTACATATTAAAGCCAAACCTTCAAAGGTTTGCTCTATACTGACTAGAAGCATCATTACTTACCACAATTTCCCTATGGGCCATAAGGATTGCAAAGTTGGTTAGGTGGCTGCAAGCACAAGATGTATGAGTTTTATTTGTGTCAATCAGCTTGCACCCCTGAGTGGACCAGTATCCCATCATAGTCCTCTCTGAGTAGTTCCAGAAGGAGCAATTTGCATTGAAATAATTGTCAGGCTGGGGGATAAAAGGATAAAATAAAATTAGGATTTTACACTCTAAAATGGCAATAACAGTTGTTCAATATATGTAAAAGGTAATTTAGATTAAACTTTGCATGTTTCGGACTATAAAGTTTTTCATCAGCAAAGTTGTGGACTATGTTGTACAAGGCAGACATCTAGTTTAAAAGGGACTTTATAGTCCGAAACACTCTAATGTGTAATCTCAATTACTGTAGACCCAATTTTAAACAATTACAATTTCCATCTTACTATTTTATGCACTAATGGTGCATTGTAGTCTTTTTTTTCTTTCTGCGAAATTAAAACTGAATTTATTCTGTAGGATTTCACCTGTAACTGACCATTTAAAAATACTGTCCCTTTTCTATTCTCATTTTTGAGCAAACCAAAGTTGCACATAAGAGGCACCGGGAAAGGGTTAGCTCCTCAAGGCCTACTTCAAGGAGAACCTGCTGAAGTAGATAAAAAAGAGGAAAACCCACACATATTTTTCTGAGCCAGTCCTGATAGTTTACTATACCCACTCTCTTGGCATGGGAACAGGAAGAACCCAACTCAAACAGCAGAGTGAAAGAGCGTAGTGAAAAGAAACATATGGATTTAGCAGTCACGAGGAAGATGGGCAGCAAACTTTGAGGCATCGGACACTGTAGAAACTACACTCTGTTCTCTGTTGCATAAATCTACTTGAACAATTTGTAAAGGTTTCTCAAAGCTGGCCCGGAATTAAAGTAAGTACTCCAAGTGTCATTTAATTTTGCTACATTAAACAGGCAGAGTCATAGCAGTTGATATTTTTCTATCCTGCTGCTAAGGTAAGAGTTAATTTTCACTTAGAAACAAATTAGAGTCATTTACATTTTCATGTTGATTACTGAATTAGCTTTCATTAAGAATACACTTAAGTTCTAATAATCACTGAACCAGGCTCATTTAATTTTATGTTCATAGACTTAAATAAACTTGTGTCTCTGACCTAGTCCAACATTTAAAATTCAAATGGAAGGAAGGTGTTTTTTTCTGCTTTGCTCTTCTCTCTTGCTGATTTTATGTTCTTCCTATTAATTCATTAGCATAACTCACATCAATGTGTTCCAGGGTAAAAAGCACAGGATCAGTCAGGTACACACGGCTGGACTCCTTGTTGATGGAGGCTGCAATGACGTGGGAGTTCACTGCAATGGTACTGTTCCGACCAACGAAGTCACTACCCAGCTTTATGGTCGCGTTTTCGGTACTGAGGAACCGTCCCAAACTTTTGTAAATGATGAAAACCAATTTTGCTAATCCTATTAAAGGAAAACTCCCATTATAATGTCATGGAATTGTAGGTGAAGAGTAAAATGTGTACTGAATAATCTATTGTCTAAATGCAAAATAAAACATCAGCAAAGATGAATGCATTATGCAGGATTTGGATTCCAACCAAAGAGACTTACACACACTCCATACAAGAAAGAGCCATTGAACAGCTATTTTTACTTCTGCAAGTCAATGTATTAACATATTCAGAAATGCAAGATTTAAATTACTATTGCTTTAAATGTGTATTTTACACAGATTAAAGGAGTCAGATTGTTTATGTGCCCAAACTTACCATTCCTGCTGTTCTGTTTCACAGTGTTTGCAGAAAGTTGGATCAAATTGCCTCCTTCGCTGCCCTGAGGAAATTTCAAGTCCTGCACCTGGCCTTCTGTACTGAGCACTGCAACTTCCAGAACTAGTCGGACCAAACACAAACCAACAGGGGAGGGGAGAAAAAAAAAGTAGAAAACATATTTTGTGGTCAGATTACAATGTGGCAGGTGGTAACTTTCTGAAAACTCCTTATTCTGCTGTCCTTGTTTGCCTCTTCAAGACAGATGCATGCTGGCATGTTTCAACTATGTGGACTTAGTTTCTTTAATCTTTAATCAAACTTAGTTCATACTACCCAAGTAACAGCACTTCAGTGGTGAAAACATGATAACAAACCTTGTTTTATTGTGTGCTTACAAGATATCACTTTAAAAATGTTGTAAAATCTTAGGTTGAAAAAATGCTTAATTTTTGAAGCCCAGAGTGTCTCTACTGCATAAATTGTTAGTGTCTGTCTACAGTTTTTAACAGCAATTATGCAATACTAAGGCTATCCTAAAATACTGTAAATAGCTAGGTGCGTTTAAATAGTATAGTTATGTGAATCTGTATTTGTGTCTAGAAAAGTCCAAAATATAGGTTTTCTGCATGTATGTTAAAGAGTTGTTGGAAGACATTTTATGTTCTGCCAAACAAGTATTTTAAAAACGATGTAACTGTTACTATCAGTTCTTTACATTTAACTCAGGTTTGTATAGTGCAGAAATAAGGTTTTATAGAATTACCTCACAAGGTTGGATGCTCTTTGATAGGTAAAATTACTCAGTTCAGGACAGCCCACTTATCAGGAAATATCTTTGTCTCAGTGTTAAAACCTGGCATTTACGCCCACCTGTACATCACATTTGACAATGGTTTAAATTTCCCACCCTACATATTCTGAAGGACGAAACACAAATGCTTCCAATAACCAACAAAACAGTGAATGTACAAGAACATGACAGATCTACAGTGGTTTTTGCATGGAGACTATTTATTTGATTAATGAGTTCAATATAAGTATAAATTGTGACATCACGGGTCACTGAAGTCAAGGAGACTTTTCCCACTGAGTTCAATGGGGGTGGGGGTGGGGGGCAGTATTTCACTCAGAATGTCTTTAAAGGGGAGAGAGGGAGAACTATGGGGAATGGAGGGGACAGGTAGTCCACAGCAAGCCTTTCTGGAGTTAAGATTTTAGGTTGCTCTGTTTCTGAATGCCATTTAGTTTAATGGGAGTTGTGCTTGCACAGCTGGTCTGTTAGGCCTTGACTGACATCAGTAGCCTTGACATGAGCAATATATTATTTTAATTTGAAGGCAGCTTCTCCTGAGCACTGACGTATAAGTAGTCCCATCGAACTCAATAGAACTACTTGTACATCAGTGTTTGAAAGATCAGGGGCCTAGGTACACAGTCTACTTTAAAGGAAGCTGTTGCCTTACAAGTGGCATGTAGGCTAATTTGCAAAAGATGTGTCCTTACTGTTTTTCAAGGGGAAAAAAGTAAAGGATAAAAATAAGAATGAAAAATGTCTTCGATTTTAAATCAGACAAGAGAGAATATGTTTTTTAAAATTATTCTTTAACAGTTAAATCCAGCTCAAACTCTCAAAAGCTTTTCACAAAGAGATTCTATCCAAACTCCTAATAAGGGAGTGAAACTTTTGTAATGTCAATTGGTGTAACTATTTAGTAGTGATAGTGATAAATTAGTGATGGTGATAAACATTTCCTATGAAAGTTCTATAATTAGGTGGCAGAGCCACCACTATAAGGTGGTAAGGGCCATCCAGAATTTGAACTTACAAGTGCACAGTTCACACCAATATTACTTTGCTTACAATGTGATGTTTAGGATGCAGTTTTAAGAGGGAAAATAGAGGTTTAAAATATTATTTATTTGGATTAAAACCTAAGTTGATCTAGAGGCCTTTCACCTGCGAGACCCTAAGTATCCAGCAGTTCAACATTCTTCTCACACCCCCATCCAAAAAATTATTTATTCAATACTCTTCCCATTCCCAAATCTCTCGGTCCAATCCCCAAGCCTCTGACCCAGCACCTCGGCATCATATGCTTCCCTTTCCCCTTGTACCTCACTGAGACGTGACTCATCAGTACACTAAAGACATTTTAATTTTATGTACCAGCAGTGGGTATAACTAACTCAAGACTATACCTGTCTTTGTAGGTCCCTAATGCTGAGCCTTTCATCGGGGCCACCATTTAAATTCTAAATTATGTTCCAAGTATCTGCAACTATTTTGTAATCTATGGAGCATGGCTATTCTGCATTATGGGAGATGTAGTTCACTGAATGCATTCACCTGAAGGCAGTTATGTTTAATATAAACATTTGGTCCATGTTCTATGTGCCTAAAAAATGTAACTGGCAAAGCACATTCCGGAAAGTAATTTAAATTCATTAGGAACAGATTATATATAATGGGAAAACATTTCCACAGCTCCACAGCAAGCATTTCAGTTACTTCAGAAAATCCATTCTCTGGCATTTAAGCACTATTCATATCCATACATTCTGCTAATGATTTTTCAATTGTAGATGAACTTTGCAACATGAACTGCTTTACTTTTTTACATGGCATTAATTATGCTACAGAAGAATACTTTTTTTAACTAATTAAGAAAATACCCCAATTTACGAACACTCCGCCCTCCCCCCCCCCCAAATGGGAAGCTGCAGCTCACTACCCAGTACTGCAGACCCCAGCTTTCCTAGTGTACTGTGACTATTAACCTTGGTTGTTGTTTTCTTGTCATAGCGGGATATGCAGTATTTGAAACTACACTTGAAGACAAATTAACTTACCAATGTTTTCAGTGGGCATTGAGACTCTAGTTGGTTCTAAGAGATTGTCAGCCAAGACAAAAGCCCCTTCTTCTAGTGTATCAAGTAACATTGTTGCAGCGTGTGCTTGTTCTGAAGAATTCATATCTTTCCAGGATTCTAGAGCTTCAGGCCTGAGCAGGTTGTTCACTGTGTCAACGATTGCCTGTATTCATTAGAAAACTATCATTAGGTGTGATTGCCCTAGGCAGTGGGAGAAAGTTTCCAACATTATCTGGTGACAATTATAATATTTATCTGTCAAGATGATTTACTGTGATTTAATGGCACCAGAAAATTATTTTCAACATAAAAATATTTCCAACCCTTTGTTGAACTAGCACAAATAGAGGTGAACTAGTCACCAGCAGTGTGTTATCTGTCACTGGTAAACATGCAGCTCTGACTTGTTTCGTATCAGATATGAAGACTGCGTTATTAATGTGCTGAGAAATGTAAGAACCAATGCAAATGGTCTTGCCTGAAGCTTAATATTGAAGTTAATGTCAAAAAAATATAATTCACATTTAGAAAACACCAAAAATACCAAAGCCAGCATTCCAACGTTTAGGCTAAAAAGGCAATACTGTTATCCTACAAACTTAACACAACACATGCAGCTACAGTACCATAATCTGTTGTCTAAGACAAACTCTCTCTTTTATTTTAAGAGGCATGAAATGAAGTTGCCTCAGTAGTTATAAAATAGTCTGCACCACTCTCTCTCTCTCCTTTCCTGTACCTGTTGACAAATACTTGGAAGCTTACTAACTTCCATTCCTGCACAATGGTCATTTAACAAAGGAAATCAGTAGAGCAAACAAGATGCCCACTGACTGACCCTGTTATCTGTGAAAGCATAATTACAAAACTGAACAAAGTTCCCATTTTTGAAAGTCTGCACTGTGACAACTATATTATTATGTATTAGGGTTCATTAAGCTGCATATAAAACAACAGTAAGTAAGGAGAAAAGGGAATTTGAAGAGACATCATTACATTCTCTTTACAAAATAATCCAATCAATCACAGTAATCAGTTAATCAATTGAAGGCAGGCTCTTACACATTAATGCATAATGTAGCTGTGCATTGAATATGCCATGCATTGCTGAATCATTGTCCCATTTACCTAGTCATAATGTGTCATTAAGCACATATATAATTTGATCAGTTTAAAAGCACTGGGAATGGAAACGGAACACAAAAATATTGGTTTGGAATACTACACTGTGCACATGAATGATTAGGAAAAGTTGGTTGAGGCTATTGTCAGAGCAAGATTAATTAGCCTAATCCATCTTTATATCCTCTTTCTGCCAGCATTGTGAGCCACACAACCTTCCTGGCAGGTTGAAGATACTTCGAAGTGGCATTAAAAGGCTTTTTTTTTTCGTTCTCTAATGGGAGACAGAATAGTCAAAATGCTCACACTGATACTGCTGCAGCCATTAACTAGAGTGGAACAGAAATTGGTCTGCAGAGGCCAGATTCATTAGTCACCAAGAAATACAGATTGGAGCCTCTAATCTGAGGTACAATTGAATCCTCTGTCACAAAGTGGGAACTTGCTTCATTTGCATAGTGTAAGTCAGTTTTTGATTTGTAATTTCAAGAGGTTTGTTATTCTTATCTGAACAGAGAAGCTCATTTGAGACTCACTGAAAATGATATCGGTCAGAAATTAAGGTCGTGCTACTGTTTCTTGTGTATCTATATACCGTGCTGATTATATGCATTCATTAACTTGAAGCATGCCTTATTTACTCCGGTACAATCTAACTCTATGTATTTCTTCAGTGGAATCAAAATGATTATCAATATAATAATATTTCTGAGGTGCGCTCTCCTCCCTGCTAAAGAGAGGGGGGAAAATAAAAGACTAATTTTGTCCCAATGACACACGTGTCCTGGGCAACACACCAATTACTACATTTCCCATTAACCTATATCTTAAAAGGTGAACTGCAAATGAATTATGAAAATTCAGTCCATTCCAACAATATCTGCTGTGCTCCCCATTAACCAGGCTAAAAGGGACAATTAAAATATTATTATTTGAAATCTGATTCCACCACTCCTATTTCTTTTTTCCCTTTGGATCTCACAGTAACTATTCTTGCTGTGACCAACCAGCTCCCATTTCTATGCAAGGCTCTAGCCTGTGAAGGCTGGTGACTGGAGCAGTCCTATATAAAGGGGGGAATGTCAGATAAGAGGCTTTTCTTTTTATTATGTTGTGCGGTGTTTCAAAGTTTTTATTACCATTGTATTATATCCCATAGGGTGTAAGCAAAAATTAATAATATTAAAAAAGAAACTTTGAAAAACCGTGCAATATAATTTTAAAAAGCCACTTACGTGATCCACTCTAGGCCAGTTTCTTCCACTAGCAGTACTGAGTGGTGGCAGTGACATAACTGGCACAGCATCACAGTGTGGGAACTGGGCACTGCAGGGATGGAGGCTGCAGAATCTGCAAGAAACTGAAAGTCAGGTAACAATATACTGCATGCCCCTTGTAGCTTAGCTAATGGGGCACTTGGCGCATACTGTACTGTAAAGTTACAGGATGATTTTATTTTTATTTGCAGTCCACTCCCTTAAGTTGCTGAATCTGACCTTTGTAAAGACTCTTAACAAAAATCTCTCGAATTTAAGATTGCACCTCAGAAAAAGCGAGAAACTAGCAATATGACACCATTTCTGTTTTATTGACATTTTTTCTCCACAAACATAACACAAGGAAACAGAGATATTATCATCTCCAAATCACAATACTCATTACTTTTCGATTGGGGGAAGGGAGGAGGAGAAGAGTTGTAAGCGCTGATCATTTGCTTATTCTGAGAGTATTATACCTGTGCAAAGCCAACATTTGTACAGTTGATATGGGGCACAAAACACATTTATCAAAGACTGAAATACATAGGATCATGCAGCAAGATGATAAAGCGTGGCAGGTTGCTGAAGCAGGGTGAAAGCAGGGTGACAGCACAGGAGAGATACCTTAAGGTAAGCCCTGCATGTCTTCTCTCGTTTTTGGAGCTTTTTAGTAAGAAAAAAGAAAATCAGAGGTTAGACACATTCTGGAAGCTACAGAAATATCCAAAAATTAGTCTGGTGTGTCAAATCTTCAGTATGCAGAGTCCAGATGTCTGTCTAGTTTTAGCCCAATGTACTTCCATGGGGCCATGCAACATTTTGAAGGACACTACTCCCCAACCATATACCTGGTTATAACCTTCCTTTCCTCCATCAATGGGAGTTCTGTTCAAACTATGAGTAGACTATGGGCATATGCTTGGTCTCTGGAGGAACTCTGCTCAGCAATATAGCTAGGCATTTTGAATAAAACCATCAACCACTCTTGCAAGAGCTAAAATCCCAAGACTGTAGTTGCCAGAGTGGGAGATGTGAGAGGATGGGATGGTCTTTCCAAAACAGACTGTCAGAAAAATCCTTAATTTATATTGTGCTGACTGAATCACAGTGGGCAAGAAGTTTAGCACTCACAACTGGAAAGATAATGTTATTATGATTCATATTCAAGAACATCAAGAGATATTTTTATCTGTGATAATATTTGCCAGTAGTAATAACATGTTTAATATACCCAATTATCATTAGTGACTAATGCTCAGGTCTTACATGGACTACCAAAGGCTCTGATCCTGCAATAGGTTTCCATGAAGATACACTACTCCCCAGAGTTCAATAGTGTCCCTTCTTCTCAAACCAGAGGTGATATATTCAATATTTAAATAAGCATACACACATTTTATATTTGAACCCAGTCATCTACTGAGCTTCATGTCAGCCAATTAATAAAATTTACACTTTATTGTGGATTTGTTTTTTTCTTAAATCTTTATTTGTACAGTAGGAGTAAAGCATAGATTTGGCAGTAATGTTTCTGAAAGGGAAAAAAGGATTATCCTAGCAAGTGGAGGTGTGGGAAGCTGTGTACCTTGTTATAACTCCGCCCAGCTGAGTCTTTTTCACTAGGCCTCAGTTCTTGCAGTTGAGCATCAAGAATGTCCACCAACTGTTCCATCAGCCTCACTGATGAACTCACATCACCAGCAAAAACTGGTCCTTTGGTGTGTTTAGCCAGTTCATTGGCAAGACTAGCAGCATTTTCTCCACTTCTGATCTGAAAAGACAATTTATATTATCTCAGCAGGATCCCTTGTTCTGCTTATGGCTTCCAATTTTGGTTCTCTGTATACCTTTGTTGTGGCAAAATAATCATTTGCATGTACACTGAAATCCACAACTAATTGAACCAATAACTTTATCTCAGAAGATTAAAAGTTCTTAGATCCATAACACACAAAGCAGTCAAAACCAGAAATTAGATTGTTGATTTTGGGCTAGATCTTCTATTTCATCTTCACTTTTATTTTACCACTGTTATCAGACACTAATAAATCTTTTTGTTCATACCAGTGTTTGAGCCATTTGAAAGTCAAGCAGCTGGTAGTGATGGCAAATTATTTAGTTTCATAAACCTCACTAAGGCTCACTAGGGAGGGGAAAAACAAAAAGTGATGCTGCATTCTAATCATATTCTGTTTTTAATGCACTTTTTAAGAATGCACTTTCTTCCATCATTTTCAGTTAGCTAAACATCTGCTTATACCGTACATATTTTGGTGTGCACTTTATAGTACTTGATTTATTAGGTGAATGTACTTTTTTTCTATTGAACATCAAAAAGCATGTTTGAATTTAATAGGAATGAAATTAAGCAAGCATGGACTCATTAAGAGTTTAATTTAGAAAACAGCTTACCAAAGAACACATGTGAACCTAGCTTTCAGTAAATGCTTTACAGACAAAGTATGCATAATTCTTTCTGCTTTTAAATTGAACAAAGAGTAATAAAGATGGTTTCAACATACAAAGCTGAATAATTTATGTTCAGAGTTAAAACCCTTAATCACCAGTGTGTATCATATTAAAGGGTTCCAACCAACCTTCTGAGCCAGCTGATTTACCCAGTGTGAGGTACAGTTGCTAAGATCAGGGCCCTTAGGGTTCCATGTTCCAGTGGAAACCATGCAGAGATACGAGGCAGTTCCTACAACAGATGTAGAAACAACAGTGAAATTGAAACCATTTTTCTGCATGCATTCGGGAAATCAGCTACAATGCACTCCAAACTCTTTATTAAATTTTGAATAGCACTAGTGGAAACAACTGACAAAATGTAAGAAAATAATGTAAATTACAAACGGCAATATACAAATCAGGGTAAAGTATCAGACTTTTACAGCAAACAAACAAAAATCTCTTGATTTTCCCTGGAAATCATCCAGAGAGCAGCTCATAATGGGAAAGGCAGCTGTAAGCAAGCTTCTCTACAGTTCTCAAGCAAAGACCTGAAATTTGCCCTGGATTCTTGAGAAGTGTGTGTGAGGTCATTCTGTATCTATTATCAAATGCCTTTTATAGATCAAAGCCTGAACAAACACTACATACTCTGAGTAACAAAAATCATGACAGTTTGAGATTACCCAAAACAAAAAATGCCATAAAAGAGTTGTCCATTCCTTTTGAAACATTTACTTGAGATCAAGATTTTTTTTAAGGCAATACCTCG